TTAAGGTATAAACACTAACATTATGTGTTGGAGGTGAATGTGTACATATTAATTATATATATAATGAATATATATATTTTTATATTTTTATATATATATATATATATATATATAATCCTCTAAATCTCAATGCAAACAAAGCTGTTTGACTTCTCCCCCATGACTGATTGATCAAAACTTATTGATTCTTCTCTCTCTCAGATATGCACGCTGTTCTTCATGGTCCTGTATTTCTTCACCATGGCTGGCAGCGTGTGGTGGGTCATACTGACGATCACTTGGTTCCTGGCGGCCGTGCCTAAATGGGGCAGCGAGGCCATTGAGAAGAAAGCCCTCCTCTTCCATGCTGTTGCCTGGGGGCTCCCAGGGGCCCTGACTGTCACCCTGTTGGCCCTGAACAAAATTGAAGGAGATGGGATCAGTGGAGTGTGTTTCATAGGGCTGTATGACATAGATGCCCTGAGGTGGTTTGTTCTGGCACCACTCTGCCTCAACGTGGCGGTGAGTACAGTCAGAAGATAAATGAGCGGGTGGGTGGAATGAAAGAGTTCATGAGTAGATGGATGGGTGAACAGATTAATGGGTGGGTGGATGATATGAGTAGTTTGTTGGTTGGAATTATGCAGACATGGATACATTAGTAAATGGATTGGTGACAGTCTTTTGGCTTCTTTGGCCTGTCAGTCATCAAAAAATGGTAACTCATTTTAATTTTGTGTGTCTGTCACTGACTTCTCATTCATCTATCTCTCTTCAGGTGGGTGTCGCTCTCCTGTTAGTTGGCATTGTGGCTCTGAACCGGGTACGCATGGAGATCCCTCTGGAGAAGGAGAACCAGACCAAACTAGTCAAGTTCATGATCCGAATGGGAGTGTTCTCCGTGCTCTACCTGGTCCCCTTGTTGACTGTGATTGGGTGCTACCTGTACGAACACACCTACCGCAGTATTTGGGAGACGACGTGGATGCAGGAGAACTGCAGGCGCTATCACATCCCCTGCCCATTTAAGGTAGAGAGAGAGAGAGTGAGAAAATGTGTGGGGCCATGAAATGTTAATATGCTTGCAAGATAAAGTATGTGTCACTGGTTAATAGAGATGTATAGGAGGGAAGCTTGCCTGGGGCAGGTCTTAGGTGAGACTTGAGCATCAGAAAAGAGACCACCAGATTCTCTGCCTGTTAAAACAGAGCAAATACCAATAACTTCAAAAGTTATTTCAGTTGTACTGTAACTGTATCAGAAAAAATAAATATGCCTGTTGAGTAGCTCATCAAAACTATTCTTCTACCTCCAGCCTGAAAACAGATGGCTCCTCAAGATCTGCCTGTCAGCTCAGCTGGACATTGAAAACAAATACACAGACACACTCTTGACAGGATATCCAGCTGTATTCCTATCACAGCTCATGCTGCAGCATGCAAATGTCCCCTGATCTCTCTCTGTATATCACTCCCACACACTGTGTGTTGCCAGTCTGCCAACGTTAGCTGGGGTGAAGTACTCGGTTTCCCCCTGTGTTTTTCTCTCCTCATTAAATCACTGGGATACCTTGTATGTTCACAGGAGAGGAAAGGTGTTTTTTTTTTAGTTTTTTTTTTTTTACTTATGTACGAAGTAGTAAACATCCGAGGATCAATAAGATGCTTCTCCATTAACAATACACACATACTCAAAAATTCACACTAGTATTTTAAAGGATAATTATGTTGTTGGTTTTTTACACCTTGAGCCTTACTTTTGTCATTTTGGACATCATTTCTATTGGTTATGATAACAATGTATTCTCTTAAGTAATTGCTGAGATTTGGGAACATCATTGTTACAACAAAGTCGACAGGCTAAAAACAGATGGACAGGTTGTAGCCAGGTTATCTAAATCACTTCACTGTAAATTGACTAACTACAGAAGGTAGTTCTGTAAACTGTGATGGATTCTTGCAACAAATGGTTATGGTAACAATTTACCTTATTCCTCAGTTTTCTCTTTTAAATAAGTTTGACTAACCTGTGGATTTGTTTAGAACACATATTATTCTCCATATATTAGACTCCATTATTAGTATGTTCCTGATCACAGCAATCAACTTGAATACATTATTACCAATAGAGAAAATGGGCAAACTTAGAAGAAGACCCACATTGTAATAAACTGAAGTAAATCTTTAATGAGCAGAGACTCTGAGGGAGGGAGAGAGAGAGAGCTGGCAGTTGCACATGTGTGTGGCTCAGTGAGTAGGTATTTGTGGAGAGGAGGGAGCAGAGCGTAGCATGCATCATTAGCTCAGCTAATACAGCTCTCAAGACTATACTCCACACAAAGCTACCAAGTCTGTGTTTCACTGTTGTTTCTGTCTCTTTGTCTCGCATTTTCTCTGCTGGTTCTCACACACTTATTTCGTTCTTTCAGCCAGTCCAGCCCCCCCCCCCTCTCAGGGCTTGCTCAGTCATGCACTGCTGCCTGTACTCTATAACGTCTTTGTAGCGGTTATGAAGAGTGGTGGGAGTGTGGTGTTTTAGACAGTCTGGTGCTAAATTAATAACCAAATGTGCACAATGCAGACACAAACACACTCCACTGCTTCCTGTCCCATACATACACACAAAGCACCAATAGCTTTTCACAACCTTTTCACTTTTTCAGGATTATTAAAGCGGAGTGCTGTTACAGTGGTTTTATGATAGAAAAGTATCAGCTAATTTGTGACTGACAGACTATATGAGAGGGTTGGAGGCAGGTGCAAGTGCTTATGTTACTTGTTAGTGTATGCGTGCATGCGTGTCTGTAGCTGTGTGTGAGAGAGCTCATGAAGAGAGACCCCCTTTATGACCTGTTGTAGCTCTGGAATTTCAATATTGCTATGTGTTATTTGATCTTAACCCTAGGGGGTTTTGCGTGCAAATGTGTGTGTAAGAAGGTACAATTGCATGTTTTTGGATAATTGAAGATTCTGTGGCTATTGTTCAAGTTCAAATGACTTTATTTTGTCTGTGTCCCTGGGTGGTAATTTACTGAAGGCCCAGGGCTCTTGCTTTATCTCGGGACCTAAATCTGAGACATTTAATCTCAGCCTGGGGTACACAGAGTAAAGATAATTAATACATAGCAATTCTTCTGTTCCTGGTTCTTTCAAAAACAAAAAACACCTAAGCTTTGTAAAAGTCCTCCTCCACTAGACGTTGCCTCAGCAGTTGTCTTTGTTAAAATGCATTGCGAATAGCCTCTTCACCAGAATATAATTTTCATTCTAATGTGTAAATGGTAAATTAGGAGAAAATTTGGTGATTTGGATTCTCTAAAATCTGAAAGTGTATCTTACATCTATACTTACCCATATACATCTACACAACAACTCCTGCCCTCTGGTGGGAGATACTGTGTCCTGCATGAAAAGCCAAGACCATCAGAGGAGGAAGCAGTTGCTGTACACCCCAACTGCAGTTCAGCTGCTGAAGCAGCTGGGTTTTTCTAGGATTACCTCCCCTCTTCCATCATTCAAACTCACTGACTGCCCTAAAACACTTGTCAGTGCTGGATACTATTGGTTCACTTAATGTGCATGTAGTTTCATTGGCATCCTAAGCATTTTATATTTCTGTACTTTGTTACTCTTGAGGAAATGTTTGTCCTACGCTTCCATACGTTCATGCTAATCTGCTTTCCCTCTTGTATGTTTTAGGGTGTATTTTCAACACCCTCTGTTGTCTTGACGACTGTGGAATTAATAGTACATTTTTCTGTCCGCTTTAGGTGGAGCAGACCAACCGGCCAGCCATGGTTTTGTTCCTGATTAAATATCTGATGATGCTGGTGGTGGGGATCCCCTCCGTTTTCTGGGTGGGCAGCAAGAAGACCTGTTTTGAATGGGCCAACTTCCTGCATGGCCGCCGACGCAAAGAGTAAGAAGAGAGATTGGATGATTTTCATTTGTTTTTAGTCCTGATTTTTTGTGAGCACATGTACTGTGTATCTGATCATGCTATTAGATATTTAGTATGTATTTTACATTTTCCATGTGTGAGTATTACATTTTGAATCATTACTCATGGTACAATAAAAAACACACATTTACTTGCAGTATTTGTCTCTATGGTGACACAAGTATATGCTCTGCACCTGTGTCCTCTCCCCCTCACTAACAACATACTTAACACTCTTCTCCTTCTCTCTCGTTCCGCTGTTTCTCCTCTCCACCTCTACTCCACATCTCCCTCACTTCCCCATCTTCACTTTCTCTTTGATTCATCCTTGCGTCGCTGTTCGCTTCCAACCCTCTACTATGCATCTGCATAAACTCATCTCCCACTCTTAAATCTCTCACCCCTGCCTCCCTCACCTTCTTCTCTCTGCAGCAGTGGGGTGAACGAGTCTCGTCAGGTGCTACAGGAGCAGCCAGACTTTGCCCAGTCCCTGCTGCGTGAACCCAACACCCCCATTATTAGGAAGTCCAGAGGAACATCCACTCAGGTAGGCCTGCAAACACAGCAGTAATATAGGTATATCAAAAGTAGTCATTGTAACATTAGTTGTAGAAGCAACAGGACACACAGGAGTGGTATCAGTAGTTTTTCTTTTTTTTATAGCACTATTAGTAATATTTCAGTAAAACATAACAATTCCTATATTTAAGAGATTATACACTAACAAAAACAGTACGCATATTAAATTCCATATAGATTCTCCTAAACGTTACACACTGGACCTTTTAAGTCTTGAGAGCAGGAGCCATTTTGCTGCTTTATTCCATCCATTACTGTCCATTAGCTCGCTGGGTTTAATAGGCTACACTCATTTCCTTTGGGCATTGGGCATCTTTTTACAACCTGATATGCATGGATGAAGATGAATGGGACAGTAAGAGAGAGAACGTTTTTACTAAAACTAAAATAGTAAATCTAAATTGCAACATGGGTCCAGAGCTTTCTGTAATAAGATGACGTAACAGAAAAATTACTACTTCCTGTTAAAAGTTCTGTCAGCTGAGCTCGCACCTTCTAATATGAACTCTGATTATGTTAAAGTATCCTGTAGACATTACTTAGAACATTTGATAATGTAAGTATTTAGGAAGACCAGAACTGTTAAATTTTGATTATCAAATAGAACTGTAGATGATGGTTGAAGTGTAGTACATTGTACTACAGTATATCAAGACTTGAACTGAAGCTACAGGACTTTTTTTTTTTTTTTTTTTTGTCTAATTTTAAAAGAAAATTTAAGGGCAAACTACATCTGACCTCTCATCCTTCTGTAGGGCACCTCTACCCACGCCTCTTCCACCCACTTGGCTGTCGTGGACGACCTCGACGAACCACTCAGAACTCACCATGGCCACCCCGCCTCCACCAGGAGTAAGGCCAGCAGCGTCCACAGCAAGACCAGCTATCATGGCAGCCTGCGCCGCACTCGTGACGACAGGTAGAGCCAAAAATCCACAACTTCCTGTTTGTTTAAAGCTGTGAATTAAATGAAACTAAATCTTTCTCTTCCTGCCTCCCCTTTCATCATATTTCTTCCTGCCCCTCTCTCAGGAGTGATACTATGGTTTACCGAGGTACCGAGGAGCGCAGCTTTCATGGCAGCATGCCACGTCTCCACCACCCACTCTCCACTCACAGCAGCCTCCATCAGATAGACAGCCACTCGAGGCCTGGCAGCCAGCGAGACGTATCCGAGGCCCCACCTACCCTCATCACCCACGGAACATCGGCAAGCAACAGCCAAGCTGCTGAGAACGAAGCCACCAGCGCCTGAGAAGAGCCGCAAAGTTTATCAGAAATGACTGTAATGATGCCTTGGCAAACACACACCCGTCTGTATAGTGTTTTCCTCTACAAAGATGGAGAATGTATCAGTGAGTGCTGTGGTGGTGATTTTTGGCGTTAGTTCCTTGCTCATCATTTGTTAGCAGTGTGGCTAAAGGCTAACACAGTTCAGTCAGTGAACTTTGCTGATCCCTCCTAGATTCAGTGAAGAAGAAGAGTCCCTGCAAGCTGGACAAGTTGTTACTTAATTATGCGAATTTACACAGCAGAAGACTCCTGAATGCTTGACTCAAACCGGCTGAGCCAACAAGAATAAATCCATCTCAGACGTTTGGTGACGTCAGTGATGCTGACATTATTCAGGGATCATTTTGTTTGTGTCCAGGTAAACCAGAGCTAGCGCTGGATAGGAAACGATGAAAAAAAGGAAAAAAGTCATCATACTTTATGGACAACGACACTTAGATAAAGTGTTTCTTGGAGGTGTAGGATTAGATCCTGGACACCAGTTTGGTCTTGAGAGCAGCATGAGCAGTCTTATGGTGGCATTGGATGACACACATGAATATTATTAAATATGTGAACACTGCCGAGTATTGCTTTTGTAACAATCTTAAATGGTTTTTCCATTCTCTCAGTCTTCACTGAGACTTTATTCACAATCTGTTTGTTCTGGACTGCAGCTCTTAATGAATGATGTTTATTTTTGTTCAGAAACCGACAAATATGGGCTTAATGTGAAATTGTGGACCTCTCTGTGGTTTAGTGAAATATTTTTATACTGTGAAAATTGTCTGTCTGCTGCTGAAAGCCTCATTTAGTGTGTTTGTGTGTGTGTTTGT